TCTGATGTATATGTAACTCGTGGATTTACCCACATTCTTTAAATTACGTCTGATGTATATGTAACTCGTGGATTTACCCACATTCTTTAAATTACGTCTGATGTATATGTAACTCGTGGATATACTCACATTCTCCGAATTACGTCTGATGTATATGTAACTGGTGGATTTACTCAGATTCTTTGAATTACGTCTGATGTATATGTAACTCGTGGATTTACCCACATTCTTTAAATTACGTCTGATGTATATGTAACTCGTGGATATACCCACATTCTTTAAATTACGTCTGATGTATATGTAACTCGTGGATATACTCAGATTCTTTAAATTACGTCTGATGTATATGTAACTCGTGGATATATTCCTTGGAATTTTGGGAATAATGTTACATAAATAGGATGACCTAGTACTAGGATACTGTGATCAAATAACGCCTGACCTTTACTGTTTATTACGGTTCTACATTACAGCAACGTGACATAACACACGTGAAACTGGCCTTTTTATCATGTCCTAAAAACACTGACATGGAGGAAGGATGTGGGTCGAAGACCGCATGCGCATTCCCCGCCCAAGACACTCCCCATCGTCTTGGTAACGAAAAACTCAGGATGATCGTGAGGTCCTAACTTGGATGGTTCTCCTAGGGCCCAGGATTAGATCCTTGGATGGTTCTCTTAAGGCCCAGAATTAGATCCTTGGATGGTTCTCCTAGGGGGCCCAAAAATTGGATCCAAGTCTGGAATAAACAAAAAAATGTCAATATAAGTCTGTCAATAATAAGGAAGGAAACGTAGACATAAGATATATAGTAACATTATTCTTGCAAACTGTATAACAACAAAAACGATTGGCTGGGAAGTGAATGTCTGATAATATACATCTAATCACGAAAGCTGTTTATTGAAGACTTAATATGGGGTGTTAATGTTAAAACATATAAAAAAACTTGAAAATACATTTTACTATAGAGACAAAGTGTTCTCAGTTAAAACCGACAGAATTGATAACGTGCTACTCTTTCACACACGTGTCTGACTCGTGTATATTTACCTAAGAAAATCAACAGACAGGAACTTGCATAAGGTCTGCTACACAGAAAAGGTGACACGCCTAAACTTTTGAGTCTGCTTATTAAGTAGACGAATACGAAATGAAACAATAGCGTGGAAGCCTCTACGATCGCTCACGTTCCTTTGTTTCTATAAATTATAGCGTTATTTAATTACTGACAGTTTGAACAGCACCCTAGTTCACGTATATTTTATTACAAAATACCGGAGTTCACTAAGAACACAAAGAATGTTCTTAGTCTACATTTACTCTTTAACTAGAGAACAGACAGACATTTGTGGATTACGAAACAATCTTCTCTATTAAGTCGAATGGTTTTATACAAAATCGCTACGTTAATTCATTCTTCTGTTCTATTGGCTAAAATAGTTTTGTATCAAGTGATTTGATGATCGGGTCAGTTGAAGAGGTACAAAGAAGATGAAGATATATTGGAGTTCGGTGATCAGAGTTGGGTGATCAGAGTTAGGTGATCAGAGTTAGGTGATCAGAGTTAGATGATCAGAGTTGGGTGATCAGAGTTAAGGGATCAGAGTTGGGTGATCAGAGTTAGGTGATCGGAGTTGGGTGATCACAGTTAGATGATCAGAGTTAAGTGATCAGAGTTGGGTGACCAGAGTTAAGTGATCAGAGTTAGGTGATCAGAGTTGGGTGATCACAGTTAGGTGATCACAGTTAGATGATCAGAGTTGTGTGATCAGAGT